TCACGGTTGCCCCAAAGCCTCAGGAACGCGGGCCGAGCACCTGCCCTGCTTCGTCCAGGATGGGGCCCTGCGCTGACCAGGATGCTGCCACCCTCTGAGTTGCCTCTGCCAGGAATGGCAAAGCCCACAAGCCTTCCAGAGACCTAATAGCTGCATCCTCTGTGCAGTGGGTGCCATGCTTCTCACCTGGAAGGGTGGGTCTGGCACATGTCAGGTAGTAACAAGGATTTAAGTTTTAAAATCACATGGCAGTTTGTAAACTTGAGAAATTATAACGCAAACGCTTCCATATTGTCAAAAGGAAACCACTGGGAGCATTGATTTAGACTTTTCTTCCAGTTACTTACATATGATTTAAGTGAAGCTGAGAATCTAGTGCTTTGTTGGAGTGAAAACTGTAGGAACTTGCACTTGCCCACTCATTCATTCATTCACCCACTCATTCATTCATTATCCATCTACTTGCTCATCCATCCATCTACTCACCCATCCACCCACTCATCATTCACCCACCCACTCATCTATCCATTCACTCATCCATCCATCTACCCACTCATCATTTACCCACCCACTCATCTATCCATTCACTCATTCATCCATCCATTCATCTACTCACCCATCCACCCACTCATCATCCATTCACCCACCCACTCATCTATCCATTCACTCACCCATCTACCCACTCATCATTCACCCACCCACTCATCTATCCATTCACTCATCCATCCGTTTACTCACCCATCCACCCACTCATCATCCATTCACCCACCTACTCATTTATCCATTCACACATCCATCCATCCACTCACCCATCTACCCACTCATCCATTCATCCACCCACTCATCATCCATTCACTCATCCATCCATCCACTCACCCATCTACCCACTCATCTATCCATTCACTCATCTATCCATCCATCCACTCACCCATCCACCCACTCATCATCCATCTACCCACTCATCTATCCATTCACTCATTCATCCCTCCATCCACTCACCCATCTACCCACTCATCATCCATCCATCCATCCAACCACTCATCTGTCCATCACCTACCCACTCATCATCCATTATCCACCCACTCATCCATCTATTCACTCATTCATCCATCCATCCATCCATCCACTCATCTGTCCATTCACTCTTTTCATCCATCCGTCTACTCACCCATCCACCCACTCATCCATCTATTCACTCATTCATCCATCCATCCATCCATCCACCCACTCATCTGTCCATTCATTCATCCATCTGCTCACCCATCCACCCACTCATCTATCCATTCACTCATCCATCCATCCATCTACTCACCCATCCACCCACTCATCATCCATTTACCCACCCATTCACCTATCCATTCACTTATCCATTCATCCATCCACCTACTCATCTATCCATTCACTCATTCATCCATCCATCCACTCACCCATCTACCCACTCATCTGTCCATTCACTCTTTCATTTACCCATCCATCTACTCACCCATCCACCCATTCATCTATCCATTCACTCATCTATCCATCTATCCACTCAGCCATCCACCCACTCATCTATCCATTCACTCTTTCATTCATCCATCCATCCACTCACCCATCCACCCACTCGTCTATCCATTCACTTTCATTCATCCATCCATCCACTTACCCATTTACCTACTCATCTATCCAGTCACTCATTCATCCATCCATCCACTCACCCATCCACCCACTCATCTATCCATTCACTCTTTCATTCATCCATCCATCCATTTATCCATCTATCCACTCATCTATCCATTCACTCATTCATCCATCCATCCACTCACCCATCCACCCACTCATCATGCATTCACCCACTCATCCATCTACTCATTCATCTATCTCCATTCATTTACTCATCCATTCACCCATCTAGCCACTCATTCATTCTTTTATCCACCCACTCACCCACTCCTTCCTTTCTTCCTTCATACATCTCCATTCTTTCAGTTGCCCACCTACCCACTCATTCATTCATCTATCCAGCCACTCATCTACCCACTCACTCACCCATTTATCTACCCACTCATCCATCCATCCATCTACTCATTCCTTCATTCATTCATTCAGCCTTCCATCTACTCACCCATCTATCCACCCACTTATGAATTTATCCATCCATCTCCATTCATTTACTCATCTATCCATTTATTCATTCATTCATCTACCCACTCATCTATCCTCTCATTCATTTCTTCATTCATCCATCTTTATCCACTCACCCATCTACCCATGCATCAGTCTGCTCACTCATCCATCCTAGGCACTAATCTATCCATTCATTCACTCATCTATCCATTCACTCAACATGGCTGCATCCTCTGTGCAGTGGGTGCCACACTTCTCACCTGGAAGGGAGGGTCCAGCAGATGTCAGGTAATAACATGCATCTATCCATCCGTGCATCTGTTCATCCATCCATCTCTTCACTCACTTATCCATCCGTCCATACATGCACTCATTTATTCAGTCATCTGTTCTTTCATGCACTCACCTGCTGTCCATCTATCATCCATCCATGTGTTTTGTGATGGCTCTGGAGGCCTATGGGGGACAGTCAGCACCAGGCTCGATGCTGGGCAGGTAGATACTGTTCTTTTCCTCTTGAAGCTTCAGCTTCAAGAGAAGTGCAGTGGCTTGGGGTTTGCTCACTTCTTTCAGTCTGTAGCTGTTCAAACAAAACAGAAGCAGATCCCTGGGGAAATGATTTCCAGGGGCCAAATGGCGCCATTTCCAGCCTGGGAATCCCAGCTTCCTCCCCCGTTCCCCTCACCTAACCCCAGCACACCAACCCATTACCACAGGTCTTGCTCTTCCTAGGTTGAGAAGAGAGTCAGTGTGTATGTAAGGAGCTCCTGGTTCTAAATCTCGGCCTCCTGGGCGGTGGCCTTTGCTCCATGGGACTCCTGGGGGACTTGGCTAATCCAGGGCTTCAGGCCAAGGTTTGTGCACCCGAACAACTTGTAGTGCATACAGGGGGCGGGGGTTTTGAGAACAAAGTGCTCTGTGTTTGGTTCTGCAGGTCAGGGAGCTTATCTGGGTGCCTTTACTCAAAGCCATTTCTGGGTCTTACATCTTTGGCCAGAATGTCCTAAGGACAAGGTGAAATGTCTCTTTCTCTCGGGAGTGTGTGGCGTTTTTAGATTTATTTGTCTTAGCTTTGCTCTTGCTCAGGGTCTAGCCATCTTTCCCCTAGATTGCCGGTGGAATTAGCACACGCTTTCTGCCTCCATTACCTCCGCGAATAATCAAGCATGCAGAGTAGGGTACGCTGCCCAGGGTTATGATCCTGTAGTTTCAGAAACCCCGTTCTCTAGGTGTGACTAACCGAGGGGAGGTTGGCATCGTTTAACCATGAATAATGCCTTTTTGCAACAATGAAACTTGGGATTCATGCAGATTACATGCTGCAGATTACACATTAAGTAGTTGAGTAGTCTTGATTTTGAAAACTAGAATACACTTGCTGGAAAGTTGCAGCACTGCAAGCATGTATGTGCGGTTAGACTGTTCACTCACTAGTTTTCAATCCCTGGCTTCCCAAACCTGAGCATACACCTTTTGTGCCCATCCTAAGTCTTTTATTTCAGAACCAGGGCCTCCTGCCCGCTTCAAGACAAAGCCCCATCACGTTCCTTCTCCTTGCAAACCTAGAAGCCTGCTGCTGTCCCATGTTGCCACAGGACTCCACCAGGGCTCACTTGGTGTTACTGGTCTTGCCTTTTCATGGAGTTTGCCAACCCTTGACTAAAATTGGAAGTGAGATAAATGAGGGCAGGCATGAGGGCAGGCGGTCCAGGCCTGCGGCCCTCCTGACCCCAGAGCGGCCGCCCTCCCAACAGACAGACGAGCTGAACAGCAGCTCACCCTGACCCTTCTTCTCTCCTAAGGGAGTAAGAGTTAAGAGCATTCCATCTTTCCTAGAACACATCTTTGTGAAAACACAGCCAAGCAAGCCTCAGGAGGGTGTTGGCAAGGCTGGGGCAGAGGGGAGCCTCCAAACTCTTCCACAAAAGGCAGGGTGAGGTCAGCAAGTGCGGGAAGGCTGTGGGAGCCAGCGCTTGAAGCCGGAGGTGCATTGCAGATGGCGCTGGGCACCCCCTCTGCCTGCTGCTCTGCAAATGCCACCAGCACCGGCTCATCCTGAACTTCATGGCCTGAGGGAAGCCCCACAACCATCCTGAACTGGGTTTCCTCATTCCTGTGGATGGGGTTGAAAAGACCATCTTGGGTGGTGTTGGTGAGGATTTCGTGAAATGGTGTAAAAATGCTGACTCACACCCAGCATGGAGAGGCCGCTGGGACTGTGGGCTCTCGGCTTAGGCCCAGACTGCTGGCATGGTTGACCCTAAGCTGGAGGTCAGGGCTGCTCTCCCCAGGCCATGGCCGTAGGGTCTGGGGGCCGTGGCAGAAGAATCCTGAAGAAGTTTCTAGCCGGCCTCTGCTGGCCAAGCGACGGGAGGTGGTTCCCGGACCTGACAGCTCACTTGTGTCCGGTGTGCACCTGGTCAGTGCGCCTTCAGGATAGGAAGACCATTCGCTTCAGCCTCCACACCTCACCCAGCACCAGTTTTGTTTCACAAATACAATAAGTGCAAATCAATGCCTGTGTGCCAAAGGGAAGGTCTTCGGGTTTTGAGAGGTCCTTATGTCAACAGGAACTAAGGTCTTTGGGTCTTAAGGACCCTGTGTCAACAGGGAGTGGAGACTGGGGTGTTCCTGGGAAACTTTCTCGTTCTCCCGGGCAGGCCTCTGCCTGGACACACTGGCTGGTGCCTCCTGAGCAGCTGGAAACAGTCCTGCCTTTGCTTGTTGGTCTCACGAGGGGCAGCCCAGCAGCATCCCCGGTCACTTCCCCTCTGCTCTCCTGGGTGGCATGGCCCCTGGCTCCCCCTAGCAGCCTCTGATTAACCAGCTGACTCTTCGTGTTGTTTAGAGACTGTAGCGTGCCAGTAAACACATGCCTTTTTTCTTTTCCACAGGACTACTTTTACCCGAGATACTTAGGTAAGTCCCAGTCACTGCTCTACCCTGGCGGTCGTAGAGGCATAGTTGGGGGGTGCGTTTTTGTGTTGGAGGAATCCCCTCATCACGTAACTCCTGGAAGGAAGACTCTTAATCATGTGGTGCACGTGGAACTGTCCAGAACATGCAGGTCAGAAACACAAGTTTCTCTGTTTACTTGATGCCACGGCTTTATTCCGTGTTACTGGAACCTCAGGCGATCTGCAGACCCTGCTCTGAGTTGACGCCAGCCTCGGCTCTTGTCAGGAAGTGTGACTGATTTTGTCCTCCAGTATTCTGATCTCAGCACTCAACACTTCTGAAGTCATTGAGGACCCCAAAGGGGTCTGTGTTCCTGTGGGCTGTAGTTACTCATAGCTGCCATATTCTTAATTAAAACTGGGAACGCTTAGTTAAAACCTGAGTGTTTCTGGTTAATTTGAAGAACAGGGAGGCACAGGCATTATCTCAGCCATCAGCAGCTGCTGCATGTGGGGTGGCCTCTGGAGACCCCCACTGGACACTTAGAAGGGAGGACAGTGAAAGGGAAACCCAGAGGCCCCGGGTCACCCTTTGAGAACTGCCGGTTTAACTGGTACCATCCCAGAGCTCTTTGAGTGCGTTTCACTTAGGAGAGAAATGTATTCCAGGCTCTTCCTTTTTAATGTTGCAAAATGGATTTTAGTAAATGTCCTCTTTAAGGGTGCTTCCCTGGGTCCATGTCTGGGACATACACAGTGGGTCTGGAGCTGGCCTGGAAGGCCCAGGTGCCAGGCAGCCTGGGTGTGCTGGGACGGACTTGTAAAGCAGGGGTGGCCCCCAGCTGTCCACAGCACGCCTGCAGGAGGCCTTCTGCTGTCCATCCGTGCCTTTCTGCACCTGGATAAGCTACAGTGACCCACTGAAGGGCCAGGTTGAGAGGCCCAGCACCCGTTGCACAGCCTCACGTTTTGGGCCATCCCTGGATATGTGTGTGCCTGGCCCCACCTCCCCCTTGTCCCCACCTCCCCCTCGTCCCCTTAGCGGGGCATCCGCTTCAAGCTGTGTCCAGCCAGTCAGAGTGTGGACGGCTTTCTCCGAAGCAGAGCAGCCTTCCAGTTATCGACAGTGTTTCCTAACAGGGGTCTATTGAAAATGAAGTTTAGCTTTCCTTGTACTGTCAGGAATCTTAGTGAACATTCCCAGTGATTCTTCCGTAGGCAGGAGGAACCCCCTGGAAACTGCGGGTGGTGCTTGGGGCACTTGACAGCTATGGGCGTGCAGCTTCACTGCTGGTGGAGGTGGTTTCCTGTTTGTCAGGGTCAGGGGCTAAAATGTTTGCATTGTTTCTGGAGGATGACAGCACCCCAGGTGAGAGCAGCTGCCTCTCCAGAGCTGCTCAGAAGTGCAGGCTCTGCAGTCCGTGCGTCTCGTGAGGGTGACTGACACCACGTTCCCTGTCTCCCCGCAGACTGCATCCACAAGTATGGGTCTCCGTACACCAAAGACCCGGGCTTCGTCACCTGCGTGCAAAGTAAGTAGGCCTCCTGCCTGCCTTCCTGAGAGGGCTGTGGGTTTGGTCAGCTTTCGGCTTGGCTGTGGTTTGCGTGGTTTGTGGAGGGCCTGAATAGTTCTGGGTTTTAAGGAGCTGCAGCCCCTTCCTGAGGCCTGCTCCCCGTTCACCAAACTTTCTTTTTTAAACAAGGAAATTTTGATGTTTTTAGCAATAGGCAATAAATGCACACAGAACAAAATTCAAATGCTTCACAGGGTGAGATGTGAAAGCCCATCCCTGCCTCTGTGTCACCCAGTCAGAAACCACCACAGTTATGGTTCTGAGAAACTTGTGCCTAGACGTGTAAACACGCGTAGGTGCTTCCACTCTTCACACGTGGCGGCTTAGCACACGCCATCTGTCCCATGCCTCTGTGCCCATCTGCCCCAGAGACCGTCTCTCGGCGTCCATCTCAGCTCCATGTTGGCATTCACAGCCAGTGCCTCACTCGGGCTTAGCCTAGGCTTGTCGGCTGATGTCCAGGTTATTTCCAGTTCCCATCATTATAAACAAAACTGAGTGACGTGCTTGAGTGCCTGTTGCTTCTCACACATCCAAGTGTGTCTGTGGGATACATTCCCAAGGATGGAAACCCAGAGTCAGTCCCTCTCACACGTCCAAGTGTGTCTAGGATACATTCCCAAGGATGGAATTGCAGAGTCAGTCCCTCTCACACATCCGAGTGTGTCTGTGAGATACGTTCCCAAGGATGAAATCGCAGAGTCAGTCCCTCTCACACGTCCAAGTGTGTCTAGGATACGTTCCCAAGGATAGAATCGCAGAGTCCTTCTCACATGTCTGAGTGTGTCTAGGATACGTTCCCAAGGATGGAATCACAGAGTCCCTCTCACATGTCTGAGTGTGTCTAGGATACGTTCTCAAGGATGGAATCACAGAGTCGGTCCCTCTCACACGTCCGAGTGTGTCTAGGATACATTCCCAAGGATGGATTCACAGAGTCAGTCCCTCTCACATATCCGATGTGTCTGTGGGATATGTTCCCAAAGGTGGAATTGCAGAGTCAGTCCCTCTCACACGTCTGAGCGTGTCTAGGATACATTCCCAAGGATGGAATCCCAGAGTCCCTCTCACATGTCCGACGTGTCTGTGGGATACATTCCCAAAGATGGAATCGCAGAGTCAGTCCCTATCACACATCCGAGTGTGTCTAGGATACGTTCCCAAGGATGGAATCCTAGAGTCAGTCCCTCTCACACGTCCCAGTGTATCTGTGAGATACGTTCCCAAGGATGGAATCCTAGAGTCAGTCCCTCTCACACGTCCCAGTGTATCTGTGGGATACGTTCCCAAGGATGGAATCCTAGAGTCAGTCCTAGGCTTCTGGTTTCCTTTTGATACAGATACTGCCAAATTATCCCAGAGCCAGCCTCAGCCTCCACCCCTGCAGAGGCTAGGGAACTGTTTTTTTAAACTTTCAATCTCTTCCGATATAACAGGTGAGAAATGACATCAATCATTTCAGTTTTTTTTTTCAAACTAATGAGTAAAGCTGTGCTTCATAGGCTTAAAAACGGTGCATTTCTTTTGCTATAAATGGTTGTTTATATTCTTTGTCCATTTTTTTCAATTTGTAGGAGTTTGCAAATTAGCCATTGGTAGTAAAGTTATCAAAAATTTTCGTAGCATGCCACAAGTCTTTTTTATAATTTTACAATTATCATACAATAAAATTTACTATTTATGGTGTCCTTTATGAATGTTAACATACCCACAGCACAAGCCACACGGCTCCCCTTGCCCTGGGTCTGCGGTCCCCTAGCGTCACATGTGTCTGGTTCTGGATGAAAGGCCGCCTTGGTGAGCCCCTGTGGGCACTGAGAACAGAGGTGTGGCAGTGCAGTCATCCTGGAAGAGGCAGGAATCTCTTCCCAGCTTTGGAACCAGAGCCCAGCCTGCAGAAGGAGGGAGAGGTGGCTCAGTCCTGCCCCACAGGCCCACATGCTATTCATGGGCATCTCTAGGCCTCCCAGACCCGGGAGCCACAGGCAGAGGAAATGCTCAGTGTCAACATGGGAGTGGGAAGGTGGCCTGCCACCCTGCAGCCATGCACAGTAGCCTGGTGCCACGTAGGTCCCAGCCTTCAGGGCAGAGGCTCCTGTGTCGGAGAGGAGATAGCAGATCCTGCCATGCATGGTTTATCTTAGTGTTTGCTAAACCAATCTCTTCTTTTAAATACCATATTCACACTTATTATATTGTCTTAGTTCCTGGGCTTCAGGCTTTCCCCCAACCTTACAAAACAGTTATCGGCTGTTTAACGGTTTCATCTATGATCCACCTGTAATTTGTTTTGGGGTGATGAACTGGGTGGGCACAGTTCCTGCCCCAGCACCTTGTACTGCAGCCCATGTCATCCCCAGCGCCTTGCCTGCCACCGTCCTCACGTGCTGGGTTATTTGGGAGATTTTCTGTCATTTCCACAGCTTTAGACTCGGCCTTCCTGCCTGCGGGTGGGACTCATCCGTGCCCTCCTTGGTCTTTTTCCTCATTGTCTTGCTTACTTGTTGTAAGGGTTATTGCCGAGTTTAAGATGAGGAAACTGAGGCCTGTATAAGAACAATTAAATGCCAATTTATTTAACTCCCGGGCGAGGTTCTGTGGTCCCAGGGAAAGGGGCCAGAGAAGTTGGCTTGACTCTGCGAGGGTGTGGGGTTTTATAGGGAGTGAAGGCGTTTGATTGGCTGTGGAGAAACAGGACGTGGAAGGGCGAGCTGCTATTGATAGGTAGGCGGGATTTCCGGTGAGCAGGCTGTGCTATTGGGCAGGTTTTGGCGGGGTTTTCCAACGGTGGGCTACGTGCCAAGTGCAGAGTTTAGTGTTGAGTGCAGATTCTGGTGCGGAGTGCAGAGGTGGGCGTGTGTTGAGTGCAGATTCTGGTTATGTAGTTTTCAGGCATGGAGAGGGATGGGCATGTCCCAGCTCCTGGGGAGGCAACGGGCCTTACACTTTTTAATAAAGCTAAACCTGGCCAGGCGCGGTGGCTCACGCCTGTAATCCCAGCACTTTGGGAGGCCGAGGCGGGTGGATCACGAGGTCAAGAGATGAGACCATCCTGGTCAACATGATGAAACCCCGTCTCTACTAAAAATACAAAAAATTAGCTGGGCGTGGTGGCGCACGCCTGTAGTCCCAGCTACTTGGGAGGCTGAGGCAGAAGGACTGCTTGAACCCCGGAGGCGGAGGTTGCGGTGAGCCGAGATTGCGCCATTGCACTCCAGCCTCTTAAAAACCTAAAGAAGCCCTTGTGGAATTTTTAACAGGGCTTGCGATTCATGTATTGGCAACTGTGTCTGACCGTGCAGCACCTTCCTAACCAGCGCACTTTCCTCCCGCGCGTCCCGGCTTCCCTCGCTGAGCCTCCCCTCCGGTATCTGGTTCCTCCGTGTGTCCCGGCTTCCCTAGATAATTTCCCCTCCGGTATCCGGTTCCTCCCGCGCGTCCCGGCCTCCCTGGATGATTTCCCTTCCGGTATCCGGTTCCTCCCGCGCGTCCCGGCCTCCCTGGATGATTTCCCTTCCGGTATCCGGTTCCTCCGCGCGTCCCGGCCTCCCTGGATGATTTCCCTTCCGGTATCCGGTTCCTCCGCGCGTCCCGGCCTCCCTGGATGATTTCCCTTCCGTATCCGGTTCCTCCGCACGTCCCGGCCTCCCTGGATGATTTCCCTTCCGGTATCCGGTTCCTCCGCGCGTCCCGGCCTCCCTGGATGATTTCCCTTCCGGTATCCGGTTCCTCCCGCGCGTCCCGGCCTCCCTGGATGATTTCCCTTCCGGTATCCGGTTCCTCCCGCGCGTCTCGGCCTCCCTGGATGATTTCCCTTCCGGTATCCGGTTCCTCCGCGCGTCCGGGCCTCCCTGGATGATTTCCCTTCCGGTATCCGGTAGCAGAGAAGGTCGTCGTCAGGCCACTTGCGGGGATGAAGGCTGATGTGACGTGTTCGTTTCGGTTCCCGCTGCCCCATCGAGTTAACTTCTTTTGGTTGGTTATCTGCTTTGTGGCATCAGCGTCCCCGAGTGTGTCCACCGCCTTCCTCCCAGGAGCTGAGGTCCTCTCCTGCGGCGGAGCCCGGCAGGGTCACGATCCCGGAGTCGGTTCCCTGTGTGCCGGGAGGAGAATCGCTGCGACTGCTGCCAGCGGCAACAGGTGGGGTCTAGCGGCTCCACCCGCCGTAGGCCAGAAGCCCCGGCCCATCCCCCGGCGCCGGCTCCAGAGTGCTCGGCTGGGGCCGCAGACGGCGATGAAGAAGGTGCTTTGATGACCCACCACCGGGGCAGCCTCACAGTCCTCTGGGAACACACCTCCGGAGGACGCCGCTGGGGCAGCTTCCAACCCTGTCATCGGCTCCCTCGTGAAAATAGCCTGACTCGGTGCTCAGGGTGCTGTCCCGGCTTCAGTTCGCTGGTTATCGGTTATGTGAAATTAAAGCCATTGCCCCAAAGAGTTCAAATTCAGCCCCAAGCAACTCAGGCCCTCGGGCTGCTCCGGGACCCAGGTGGCACAGCAGACGGAGGAGGATGCCTGGGAAGTGTCGCCTGCATTCCCGGTGGCTGTGAAGAGGCCCCGCCCCATTTCTTTCCTTTCCCACCGATACATCCAGCTTCTCCGCTGCTGAACACTCCCATCCCGCCCTCGCGGGGCACTTGGTGCCTGGGCTCCTTGGCGTCTTTGACCCTTGGGTTTCCCCAGGAAGGTCACATCCCCACAGGCTGTGGCCCAGGCAGTGGTTACTGATTCCTGGCCGCTAGGATCCCACCCCGCCACAGGAAGTGTCCCCGCACCCTTCCCTGGGGCAGACAGGACCCTGGTCCTCCCTCATCAGTGCCCAGGGAAAGGCCCCGGCCATCTGCACTGGCTCACATTGTATCCACAGCCACTCCCTGCTGTCCTTCAACATGGTCACGGGCTGAGCTGAGATAAACCCTTCACCTCCCGAACTCTGCAGGTGCCGGCGCCCAGGGCATGACCAGCCAGGCACTGACACCCTCCACCCAGCATTCCGGATGGGCATCAGGGAAGTGGGTGCCCTTGGGGCCTGCAGCGGTTTCCCTGCTGTGTTGGAAAAATTCTATAGACGTCTCCTGGGCACTGGCTGAGGGTCCGCCCCTCAGATGTGGTTCCATCCTTGCAGCCTCGAGGGACCAATACATTCCCAGCGGGGAAATAAACAGATGAGTGGGGGAGGTCCAGGGGGGCGGCGTGAGACTGGGATCACCTAAGAGCAGGACACCCGGCAGGAGCGGGCACCGCCACTTGGCCTCAGAAACAGAGGTCTTCCTGAGGGGCATTCCAGGCAAATTGAAGACCAAGCTCCCAGCCCTTGGTGTCACATGGGCAGGTGTACACTTCTGCAGTGGCTTTAATCTCTAACCAAACATTTTAAGTGGCAATGCACAGCATCTCCCAGACATCCCTCCACCGTGGGGGCCTTTGAGGGGGTCGGGCCTTGCACAGGCTGCCTGCCTGGCACTTGTCTGACTCCCTCCTGCCCCCAGAGCCTCTTCATCTGAGGCTGGGTGGAGAAGCGGACACCCCTTGTTTCTCTATCCTGGGCCGGACCTCCTTCCAGGCCCTGCTGTGACCATGCTGATGGCTCCAGATGCCCTGCGGACCAGCACCCAGGTACAGCCAGGCGGCGGCAGCATCAGGGGTGGGGACTGGCTGGCTCCTGGTGGCTGGGCTGATTTGGAATCCCTGGTCCTGGCCCTCGTTTCTTCATGACTCGGAAGGCCAAGGCCAGCCCTGTATGCTTCAGAAAGCATTTACAGCCACCTGCTGAAAATGGCGTCTCAGAAATCCTTCCAGATGCCAGCTCCATCCACACCCATAAGTGTTCTGTTAGCAGTCATCTGTGCAAAACAAGCAAATCAGAGGAGGGGTATGGAGGAAACTGAGGCGTACAGAGGACACTGAGGCACGTGGAGGAGACTGTGGGGCATATGGAGGAGACTGAGGCACATGGAGGGGACTGAGGCACATGGAGGAAACTGTGAGGCGTACAGAAGAAACTGAGGCACATGGAGGAGACTGGGGGGCATATGGAGGAGACTGAGGCACATGGAGGAAGCTGTGAGGTGTGAGGGGGAGACCGAGGCATCTGGAGGAAACACTGTGTGCCGTGTGCTGAAATGTCACAGGAAGAAGCCATGTGGTCGTGCAGCTTCCCCTAGACGTCTGGGACTCGTAGCCAGGGCCTCTGTTGAGCTCACTGCCCTGACCCGCCTGGGAGGACAGGGGCTGCGTCTGTGCCAGCCACAGGCAGTGACTGTGTGCCCTGGATGGGCTGGAGGAAAGCAACTTGGTGAACCACAGACCCGCCCGTTGCTTACCCTGGCCCCTGGCATCCCTGCAGCCCGCCAGGTGGGGAGTAAATGGCTTCTGCACTGACAGCCCAGCCTGGACCCTCTGTTGGAAACGCCACCTCAGGAACGGAAACTGACACATTGGCAGTGAGAGCCCATCCACGGACGCCTCGACCTGCCCCCACTGCGGCTGACCCCCAGGATAATGCGGCCCAGTGCTCTAAGGCCCTGCTGGCCTGGCCTGCACTTTTCCCAGGGACTGGTCCTTACTGAACTTACGTGGAATCTGTGGACAGGAGCCCTCTGAGCCAGTAGGGGGCCTACCCAGGGTTCACCACGGAGCTGAGCAGGGCTGAGCCAAGCGTGGCTGCGTCTCTGGGCACTGCTTTTGCTCAGCCAGCAACGTGAAAGGATTCTTCGAGCTCTGGGCATTCATTACTGTGGTTCTTTCTGCCAACTTCCCAGGGCTCGGGCTTGTGTGACTGTGCTCTCAGGGGTGGGGCGGGGGTGGGGTGGCTCAGGCTTGTGTGGCTGCGCTTGTGGGGTTCAGCCTCCTGTGGCTGTGCTCTCGGGGACTCTGGCTTGTATGGCTGTGTTCTCAGGGGTTTGCGCCTGTGTGGCTGTGCTCTCAGGGGCTCCTACCTGCCTCCGGGACACTGTTTTTGGTCCGTGTCCTGGAAATGTCAGCTCTGTGAGCAACTCCTCATTCGGGGACTCCTTGGGAAACAGCTGGGCTGGGATGGTTCCCACCCACAGGCCCTCACCCAGCCCAGGTGATGACCCTGAGAGAGGGCAGAACACACCTGGCCTGAAGCTGCCAAGACACAGGGCCTGAAAGGGGGCGGCTAAGCAGAAAGAGGGTGTTGGGGCTTCCTAGAGGACCCCTCTGCCAGTGCAGCCTGGGCCTGGGGTGCTCCCTGCCACACACAGCAGGTAGAGGTCACCATAGGTAGGCTGGGCTTGAAGGCGGAATGTTCCGAGTCTGCCTGGAAGCCCCCAGGTCAGCCGGGGGTTCTGTTTAACGGCTCCCTGGCAGGCCAGGCAGTTCTGCTCCTTTGCCCTCGGCCCTGCCCACCTCCCTCCCAGGCCCTGCCCACCTCCCTCCCAGGCCCTGCCCACCTCCCTCCCAGCTGATCTGAGTTTTCCTGGATTCAGCCCCAGGGCCCACCAGCCTGATTTGCCAGCACGGGGGTTTGAGTGCCCTCGGGCTGCCTCAGCCTGTGCTTCTCAGAGCTCCTCGGGGCTCCACCCTAGGCCCCACCCCCAGCTGCATTGGGTGCAGGGGGGCAGCTGAGCATGATTTTTCACTTTGCGTCCCCCTCAGACCTGCCTGACCAGTGCACGCCCAACCCCTGCGATAAGAAGGGGACCCAAGCCTGCCAAGACCTCATGGGCAACTTCTTCTGCCTATGCAAAGCTGGCTGGGGGGGCCGGCTCTGCGACAAAGGTGAGAACCCCACAGCCACGTGAGGCTGAAGACAAGGGCAGGGTCTCCCTCCCTCTCCAACCCTGCCCTGCCCTGATCCCTGCTCCTCACCCCCACTCCAGGCGCAGCCATCTTCAGGCTGCTCTTGGACAGCCCCAGGGAGGCTACAGCCCTGAGGTGTCCTGGACCCCAGGAGAACTGGGAGGAGCTGTGGTCTCCTCTCTGGGAGCAAGGCTAGAATGAAGGGAAATACCAGGTGGTACCTCAGCACCCACTGATTGAAAAGGGCAGGGGAGAAATTTCACCTCTGACCATCCTCAAGTGTCAGTGAAAACCTTGGAGGAAGAATAGCTCCAGGGCCTGCTGGAGATTCCAGCAAGCCAGGCTGTCCCCTTTGGCTGGTCCCACCCCAGAGGTGGCCTGGGAAGGCTTCGCCTAGAAGTGGCCATCTCTGGCCAGGCCTTGTTCATCCTGAGGTCACTCCTGGCTTCCAGCCTCCTGCAATCACGTGGCATCCAGGGAGTGGAGCCCTGTGGGCTGTGACCACCAGCAGCTCCCCTGGCTGAGATCAAGCTGGGGATGCCCTGTGCCTGCCTGCCATCTACTGCCACATGCAAGGCCAAGACCAAGGGCCCTGAAAGGCTGGGGATGCCAAGAGGGGTGTGAGGTCCTAGCCCTGGGCTACCTGGATGCTATAGATGGGGCTATGCACCCCTGGGCTCCCTCCCTGCTCTAGACGGGGCTGTGCCCTCCCCCCCCCGCCGCTCCCTCCCTGCTCCAGACAGGGCTTTGCACCCCTGGGCTCCCTCTCTGCTCCAGGCGGGGCTCTGCACCCCTGGGCTCCCTCCCTGCGCTAGACAGGGCTGTGCCCTGCCCCCTGGCTCCCTCCCTGCTCCAGACGGGCTGTGTTCCTCCCCCCCAGCTCCCTCCCTGCTCCAGACGGGGCTTTGCACCCCCAGGCTCCCTCCCTGCTCCACACGGGGCTCTGCACCCCTGGGCTCCCTCCCTGCTCTAGACGGGGCTCTGCACCCCCGGGCTCCCTCCCTGACCCAGATGGGCTGTGCACCCCTGGGCTCTCTCCCTGCTCTAGACAGGGTTCTGCATCTCTGGGCTCCCCTTCAGGCCTGTGCTTGTTCCCAGATGTCAACGAATGCAGCCGGGAGAATGGGGGCTGCCTCCAGATCTGCCACAACAAGCCGGGCAGCTTCCACTGTGCCTGCCACAGCGGCTTCGAGCTCTCCTCTGACGGCAGGACCTGCCAAGGTAAGGCCCTGGAGTGAGGCTTCTCTCCTCTCCCTGCCTTCTATTTTTGGTCAAGTCTGCCCTTCTGCAACAGGCTGCTGCTGGCCTGGTTCCTGTGGTTCTGGTTGGGATGGGGCATCCTGCAGAGACTGCACAAGCCCTGGCGTGCCGCAGCACAGGCAGCAGGACGACTCACCTGGCATCTGAGGGCCAGGTCTGAGGGCGATGGCCTAGCCCCTGAGGCCACACTCCTGGCTGTGGGGCCTCATCCAGTCCCCAGAGCCTGGGAGTGCTCCCAGCAGTTGTGCAGTGAGCTCAGGGTTCAGTGCTCCTGTCAAGGGTCCTCCTCGTCTACTCTCCCCAGCGCCTCCAGAACCACCCCACCATGATCTCCTTCAGTTTCCTACGTGAACATAGCCCTGCCCTCCCCGATTCCCTTTCTGTTTCAGCTTGGCCCAGGGCCAGAGCTGGGGAGCCCCAGAACACCCGAGAGCATCACTGAGAATATGCCCCCCACCCCCAGCAGCCGCCACCAGGGTTTGCCACTTTGCCCTGGGATCTGGACATGCCCAGGCCTGCCCCTGGTGCTCCCCTCCCCTTCTTCCTCCTCCCCCCTCTTCCTCTTCCTTCCCTTCTCCTCCTCTGCCTCCCCCTCCCCCCTCCTGCCTCTCCCTCCTCCCCCTCTTCCTCTTCCCCTCCCTCTTTATTCTCCTCCCCTCCTCCTCCCCCTCCTCTCCTCCTCCTCTCCCTCCTCCTTCCCCTCTTCCTTCTTCCCCTCCTCTTTCTCCCCCTCCTCTTTATCCCCCTCCTCCTTCTCCATGCTCTTGTCTTTGCTCTCCTCTGCTGACTAAAGGTCTCTTCATTTCATGGTTGCCCCTTGCACCCTGGGGTGCTTGGCAGTGAACAGTGTCCGTCTCTCACATTAGATGCTCAAGTCTTAGGATTGTGGCTTAAACCAGTGTTGAAAATTGATGGAAACCAGTAAAGCTTCTCTTTGGGGGTGGGATTTGTCCCCAGGGGGTTACTTTCTGTATCCTGTAGCAGGTTGTTTCAATGTGACAGCACCACCGCCCCCACCCCTCGACCACGCGGTGCCCCTCCCAGCTCTCCATCGGGGGCTGAAGTCAGCCTTCCCAGCCGGGCCTGGATCAGAAGCACGCCCCCAACACCCAGGAGCTGCCGGGTCAGGGGAAGAGGGGAGGGAATTGTGTGGGCCCTGCAGAGCCAGGCTGTGGCACCCAGCGCTGCAGTTGGCGCTTTTGCTTGCAGACATAGATGAGTGCGCAGAAGCGGAGGCCTGCGGGGAGGCGCGCTGCAAGAACCTGCCTGGCTCCTACTCCTGCCTCTGTGACAAGGGCTTCGCGTACAGCTCCCAGGAGAAGGCTTGCCGAGGTACCCACACCGTGCGGTCACCCTCGACTTCTCTCCTCCTCTGACCCTGAAGCCCAGATGCGGGTGCCAGTCACTGCCTGCCCCGGGCGCCTCTGGTGAAAGAAAGTCTCTTTCTCTCTGTTTCCATCAGCCTGGTCATGGCCTCTTCTACCACCGTGCCCCCACACACGTGCACACACAGGCACTCATGCCCCCTTGTGCACGCGAACATAACATGCGCATACATCAGGAGGGTCCCAAACACGCCTACCCTTCTCTGCCTGCATAGAGACGGAGGAGGGTCTCAGAGCCCTTTCATGGACGGGGCCTCTCCCCAATGCTGCTGTGCTGTGGGCCCCCCTTCTCACTCCTGGGTCCTACCACATCCTAAGGGAGGGGAGCAACAAGCCTCCCTCAACCATTCTCTTTGCAGCTGCCTGAGGGACCCTGTTGGCTGCCAGAGCCTCAGAGGGGGCATGGCAGTGATGGGAACAGTGCTGCTGAGTAGGCACAGAGGGTGGGGAGGCCCAGCCGCCTGCACTGACCTACTGACCTCCATCTCCCACCACACTGTGCTGCCAGCAACACCTGCCGGCACAGCAGCCCCGTGCTTCCTAGACCCAGCTCTACACCAGGAGAGTGAATCGGGACTGAATCTGGCTTGTTGGGAGTGCCCTTCCTCCTGGGATGCCTGCAGTACTTTTGTCCCCTCAGGAAACAGCCGCGACAGGAGCAGGCAGGGGTGCAATCCTAGCTTTCCAGTGGGGGAATGTGACCCCCGCAGCCGCACGCCTTAGATTCTGCACGTGATTCCTCGAGTGTACCTCGTGTGTAGTTTGAGCAGTCGCTGTATGATCCTGTGGCGGGCAGCACAGTGCAGAGGCCTCCCCTGCTCACCACCAGGTCCCTCTGGCCGGCCTCCCCCTCTTGCCACCAGGTCCCTCTGGCCGGCCTCCCGCTTTTGCCACGAGGTCCCTCTGGCCGGCCTCCCCCTCTTGCCACCAGGTCCCTCTGGCCGGCCTCCCCCTCTTGCCACCAGGTCCCTCTGGCCGGCCTCCTGCTCTTGCCACCATGTCGTCCCTCTGGCCGACCTCCCCCTCTTACCACCAGGTCCCTCTGGCTGGCCTCCCGCTCTTACCACCATGTCCCTCTGGCCAGCCTCCCGCTCTTGCCACCACGTCCCTCTGGCCGGCCTCCCGCTCTTACCACCACGTCCCTCTGGCCGGCCTCCCCCTCTTACCACCACGTCCCTCTGGCCAGCCTCCCGCTCTTACCACCACGTCCCTCTGGCTGGCCTCCCCCTCTTACCACCAGGTCCCTCTGGCCGGCCTCCTGCTCTTGCCACCATGTCGTCCCTCTGGCCGACCTCCCCCTCTTACCACCAGGTCCCTCTGGCTGGCCTCCCGCTCTTACCACCATGTCCCTCTGGCCAGCCTCCCGCTCTTGCCACCACGTCCCTCTGGCCGGCCTCCCGCTCTTACCACCACGTCCCTCTGGCCGGCCTCCCCCTCTTACCACCACGTCCCTCTGGCCAGCCTCCCGCTCTTACCACCACGTCCCTCTGGCCGGCAGATGTGGATGAGTGTCTGCAGGGCCGCTGTGAGCAGGTCTGCGTGAACTCCCCGGGGAGCTACACCTGCCACTGTGACGGGCGTGGGGGCCTCAAACTGGCCCAGGACATGAACACCTGTGAGGTAGGCAGCCCTGGCTCTGCAGGACCCTCACAGCGCTCTGGGGGCCTTCGGCGGCGGTGGAGGCTTTTGAGAGAAACAGTCTGTGAAGCTCTGGCTTTTGCTGAGGCGCTGGGGATCTCCGGGGCCATGTGGAGGTTTGGGATGAGAAATGCTTCCATTCCCTGGAAGATGTTTGGTTGTATTTATAAAGTCTCTGTGACAACTCGCAACTCCCAGTGGACCAGCCTGGTGTGGACCAGCTGTGACTTTCGGGGCACAGTCCCCGTTCTGCTGTGCACCAGGGAGCCAGCATGACCGACCTGACCCACCGGTGGGGAGGCGGTGCCCACATGGGGACGTTTTGGGCAGGCGGCTCTCTTTCTCCTGTTCACTCTGGGTCTGAGCCTGGGGAGTTGATAGTGAGCATTTATTTAAAAAGCAAAACTAGCCAGTCACGGTGGCTCACGCCTATAATCCCAGCACTTTGGGAGGCCGATGCAGGCAGATCATGAGGTCAGGAGTTCGAGACCAGCCTGACTAATATGGAGAAATCTGCCTCCACTATAAATACAAGCAAACATGCCTGGCAAATGCCTGTAATCCCAGCTATTCGGGAGGCTGAGGCAGGAGAATCATTTGAACCTGGGAGGTGGAGGTAGCAGTGAGCCAAGATCACGCCACTACACTCCAGCCTGGGTAATAAGAGCAAAACTCCATCTCGAAAAAAAAAAAGCAAAACCACAGGATTCCACAGGTAAAATGGCCAACAGGACAGCTTCTCAGAGTCACAGACCCGGGACGGGGCCACAGGGCTCTTGGGTCTGGGCTGTGACGTTTGGGGCTCACAGCCTCGCCTTCAGGTTCTTTGCTTCACTGCCTCATGTCCTCGTGCAGAGGGCATCTTGCCCCTGCCAGCCATCCAGCTCACCCTGGGTACCCATGGGGGCAGAGCAGGCCCCACTCCACCCCAGCCCCTGGGTCTTCCAGGGCCACCAGCACACTGGCTTTGGTTCTGGGCAGCGTGGAGAAGCTGCAGTGCAGAAGAAGAAGCTTTCTAGGATCGCCGTCTCCAAGGCCTCCGTAGTTATTTCACAATAGTTTGCAATTTTTATGATTCTCTGTAATTTTTGTGTGTTTGAAATACCTCATAATTAAAAATAAAGGGAATGAGCAGGGAAAGAGGTGACAGGGACCCCAGAGAAGCCCTGTGGGGGCGGCTGATGGCGAGCTCGTCCTTCCTCTGGGAGCTGCAGGGTGGGCAGGTGCGACAGCCTCTCGGGTCTCAGGAGCTAGAGTGGGGTGGCCACACTCCAGGGGTGTGGGAGGGACAGTGGACCCGCTGCAGGGCCAGGGCCTGGGGCTCAGGGATGGAAGCAGAGGGTGCATCCCTGACACTCTGGGGTGTGGGAGGGACAGTGGACCTGCTGCAGGGCTAGGACCTGGGGCTCAGGGAGCAGAGCAGAGGGCACATCCCCAACCCTCACGGCCCCTCCCACCCATGGCAGGACATCTTGCCGTGCGTGCCCTTCAGCATGGCCAAGAGTGTGAAGTCTTTGTACCTGGGCCGCATGTTCAGCGGGACCCCCGTGATCCGACTGCGCTACAGGAGGCTGCAGCCCACCAGGTGAGGAGCGTCCACAGAAGGCAGCGCAGCTGAGACATAACGGCCGGGATGCCAGCTTCATAGGGCCTAGGCAGGAGCTAGGTCAGCAGGGAGGGGCCAGCGTCTGCCCGCGCCCAGCGCTGACCTGTTTCTTCCATGGGCGCCCAGGCTCGTAGCTGAGTTTGACTTCCGGACCTTTGACCCCGAGGGCGTTCTCCTCTTTGCCGGTGGCCACCAGGATGGCACCTGGATCATGCTGGCCCTCCGAGCTGGCCGGCTGGAGCTGCAGCTGCGTTACAATGGTGTGGGCCGAATCACCAGCAGCGGCCCGGTCATCAACCATGGCACGTGGCAGACGGTGAGTGTGAGGCAGCCGCCCTTCCCGACCCCTGGGGCCCCTGGCACGCACTCACTTGTGCACCCATTACAAGATGGGCTCTGGGGCCTGACCGGCTGCATGCGGCAGGACAGGGACCCCTGCCCCGTTTAGCTCATGCTTGGGGGGCTCTGCTATTTCACCCCTGCCCCGTTTAGTTCACACCCGAGGGCTCACTGTGGAGCTCGGGGTCTCTGCTGTTTCACCCCCATCCTGTTTAGTTCATGCTCTGGGGCTCACTGGAACTTGGGGCCCTCTCTGCTATTTCATCACATATCTGAGCCTGGCTCCCTCAGAAATGGACCTTAAGTGCAACCTGTGAGTTTGGTCTCCCTGAGTTCAGGTCACTCTTGGCTCAGGTGAAGAACCTGTGGTTCTCAGCCCTGGGGGCCCCTGGGCTGTGTCTGGAGGCCATGCTGTTTATCCTGAGTTGGGGTGGGGAACAGGCCAGGGCTGCTGATACTACATTCAGGGGCCTCGCCAGGGAGGAAGCCGCCCAGAACCTGCACCCCAGGCCCGGGCTCCTGCTGCATGCGGCCCCCTGGCCGTGGCCACCTCTCCATGTAGGGCCACGTGGACGCCACTGCCTCTGAGCTCTGGCTCCCGGGGCCTGCCGGTCTGTGCGGCCATTCCCATCAGGGGTCCAGGCAACCTCATGGGGGCTGCCCCTTGCCAGAGACGTCATGACCACCTGGACCCCAGACCCATGGGCAACTGAGGGGTCCCCATCAGACCTGTCCTTGGGCAGCTGTGGGCAGCAGACAACATGCCTGCACCACAGCCCCCTCCGTGGAGTGAGAGGGTCTGTAGCCAGCTCCTGGCTGGGCCCCTCACCACACTGGGCTTTCAGAAAGGTGGAAAAGCAGGCTGTGTCCTTCAGAATGAAGACGAAGTGGAAAACTTCACCCTGGCCCTTGCAGATGAAAACTGTAGACTTTTGCCCATGTTTCCATTCTGCAAAGTAAATGCCTACTCCATTTCACCTCTTTTTTTTTTTTTTTTTTGAGACCGAGTTTCGCTTTTGTTACCCAGGCTGGAGTGCAATGGCGCAGTCTCGGCTCACCGCAACCTCCGCCTCCTGGGTTCAGGCAATTCTCCTGCCTCAGCCTCCTGAGTAGCTGGGATTACAGGCACGCGCCACCGTGCCCAGCTAATTTTTTGTAATTTTTAGTAGAGACGGGGTTTCACCATGTTGACCAGGATGGTCTCGATCTGTTGACCTCGTGATCCACCCGCCTCGGCCTCCCAAAGTGCTGGGATTACAGGCTTGAGCCACCGCGCCCGGCCCATTTCACCTCTTAAAGGAGCAGCGTCTCCAAGAGCAGGAGGTTGTTCTTAGCAAAGCTATAGAAAGCAAACTAAGGGGAAGCAGTTTCAGGGATGGAGCTGTGGGGATGAGGGTCCAGGGCAGGTGGCCCGAGGCAAGGTCGCTGGGGGACTGTAGTGCGACCCAGTCCTGCCCCGTGACTCACAGCGGCCGCTGCATCGCACCGAAACAGGCCCTTCCTAGCAGGGGCACCTGGTGAGGACCCCTCCCCAATTCCACCCTCTGGCTGGTCCCCAAAGGCAGCTGACTCAAACTTCTACCATGTTTTTGTGACTCAGTTGAAACCCAAATACCTGAAAGGTGTTTTCACACAGGAAGAAGGATGTTCTTCTGAAGCTTGGGAATAGGGTGTATCTAGTGTTCGACGCTACAGGCTTTCTATGAGGAATCAATTTGGTGCATTGAGAAACCTCCTGGCCCAGGCAGTGATGAACAGGGACTCCCTTGATGTTGAGTGGCTCTTGGCTCAGGTGGGGATGAGTGTGGTCTCCCTGAGGTCAGGACCCTCTTAGCTCAGGTGAGGATGAGCGTGGTCTCCCTGAGATCGGGACCCTCTTGACTCAGGTGAGGATGAGCATGATCTCCCTTAGGTTGTGTCCTTGGTCTCAGGTGTTCCAGCAGAGGTCGGGTCCCTCTTGACCTCCGATATGATGAGCCTGGTCTCCTTGAGGTCTGTCCTTGTTGGCTCAGGTGAGAATCAGGTGGTCTCCCTGAGGTCGGGACCCTCCTGGCTCAGGTGAGGATCAGGTGGTCTCCCTGAGGTTGGGACCCTCTTGGCTCAGGGGAAGATAAGTATGGTTTTTCTGCAGTTGGGGCCCCCTCAGAACATGCACTCCCACCTTCTCTCACGGCGCTGCCTCTCTTCAGATCTCTGTTGAGGAGCTGGCTCGGAGTCTGGTCATCAAGGTCAACAGGGATGCTGTCATGAAAATCGCGGTGGCCGGGGACCTGTTCCAGCCGGAGCGAGGAATGTTCCATCTGAACCTCACCGTGGGGGGGATCCCCTTCCATGAGGAGGACCTGGTGCAGCCTGTGAGTGCAGTCCTGTCCCTGGGTAGGGGCACCCTGTGCTGGGAGCCGGGTGGCTGTCAGGAAGGCTGGGTCAGCTCAGCCCTGCCCTGTGTTTACCACTGGCCAGGTGTGGGGAGGACCTAGAAGAAGGAAAGGTTTTGAGAGTTTGACCAAGTCAAGGTATGGCCATGTGGTTAATTTTACCATCTTTTTATGAGGCCTGACTAAGTTTCCATCTGACTTGATAATAAAGTTGTCTATTTTTCAGTGGAGACAAGACACAAAGAAATTATTCTTTAACAGAACAATAAACTTTTTTGGATGATTTCCAAGGACATTTTGGGTTTTGTAACCCTGATGTGAGTCTCACAGGGGAAAAGTAGCCGTGGTGGGGCGGGCAGTGAGGGCCATCTCTCCAGGCCCCGCCTTCCCTCCCCCAGCACAGCACATGCCGGGCCCCGATCTGCATCTCCAGCCCCCGTGCGCTGACGTCTAGGCCAGTATCCTGGGTATTTTCACTCCCACACCAGATAGGAGAAAGGCTCGCACATCTTTGCGTCTGTGGGTGCTGCATGTCCGAAGTGCCTGTGCTGAGACCCACCGCTTCGGTGGTGTGAGGGGCACCCTGCTTTCCAGACCCATGGTGCTCTCGTTTCACAGATAAAGGGTTGCCCTGATTTGCCCACAGCCATATTGAATAATTCACATGAGCGCTGGATGGTTAAACAATCCATATTGTTTGGCCTTGGATTCACATTTTTTCATTCTTTTCCTAGCATTAAAATTAATCTCTATTTCTTGAGCATACACCAGTGGAAATAGGTATTCTGCAGTGAGTCATTTTGTAAAGTGAAGAAACCTTCTGTGAAGTCACCACCGCCAGTGGGATTGGTCCATTTTTGCAGTAGATTTGCACAGCCTGGGCTGTGAGGGCACCACCCACTGGCTGGGTGGCCTCCAGCACAGGGCCTCTCGCTCCCAGGAAGCCACAGAGATTTCTCTCTTTCCAGATAAACCCTCGTCTGGATGGCTGCATAAGGAGCTGGAACTGGATGAACGGAGAAGACACCACCATCCAGGAAACCGTGAAGGTGAACTCGAAAATGCAGTGCTTCTCGGTGACGGAGAGGGGCTCCTTCTACCCGGGGAATGGCTTTGCCTTCTACAGCCTCAACTACAGTGAGTCCTGGCTCTGCCATGGCCGGCCATGGCTGCGCCTTCAGGCAGGCACACGCTGAAACAGGCCGACGGCCTTGGATGGCAGCATGGGACAAGCTGGGGCTCCTCCAGCTCTGGGGCAGGGCAGGGTGCACAGGGGTGCGGGCGGAGGCCTGGCTCTCAGATTGGTCGCTCAGATGTTTCAGTTCAGAGTGAGCCAGCAGAGAGGAGATGACAGACGTGCAGAGAAGGTGCCTGCCAGGCCGGTCTGGGAGACCGGGGAGGCTGGGAGGGCCTAAGAGGGTCCTTTGCAGAAAGTCCTGAGACAGCACAGCCTTAAGCCCTGTCCAGGTGCTCGTGGAAGCCTCAGCAATGTGGGGGATGCTGCAGTCACTGATGGCCTGGGGAGGCATCACCACAGGAGACATCTAGAAACAGCAGTGTGGCTGCCTAGGGGACTGGGAGCCTTGGCCTGAAAAAGGGCGGACGGAGGCCAGCTGGGTGGAGGCAAGCTGGTAGTCCAGTCCTGCAGTGCTCTTGGAAGGGGCTGCTGTGCCGTCCTTTCTGGCCCAGGTTCAGGGGGCTGCCGTGAGGGTGGGGTTACTGCTCTGTTCCACCCCACCTCACACGCCCACCCCACATGGGTCCACTGGGGCACCACAGCCCCACCCTATTCCTGAACACCAAGCCGTTTAAGATGAAGCACATTCCTCCCAGAGGGCAGGCAGCGCCCCCTCCATCAGACCTCCCAGCAGGAACCCCAGGTTTGAGGGCATCCATGCAGAGCAAAGGGGAAGGTCCTGTCCCATCCTGAGCCCTTTCCCCTTGGGAGTCAACAGCGTGGCCGTGTCCGGAAAGGCACCTGGGAGACAGCGCCATCTGCTGGCTGCAGCGGCTACACAGGCACCCTCCCTTCAGTCGTTACTTTTGTGCTTTCAAATCTAGATCATCATCATTACATTTGACATGTCATAGGAAATGCTGAATTCCTTTTTCCACTTAGCGTCATCCACATTTCCCAGGGATAACGCAGGCACCAGGGGGGCTGTTTCCAGTGACTGTGTCCTTCACGGTCTGCTGGCCACGTCTGCCAGCCATTTGGTCTGTAAGGACAGAAGCAGTCAGAGCTCCATGCGCTTCCGTGAATCTCACACTAGGCCAGTAACGTCTCGTGTAAGACAGAAGGGATTTGCTGGGAACGGCAGCACTGGCCTGTCTCACACTGCAGTGACTGAGCCGGGACTCAGGCTCACAGATTCCTAGGTCTGTGCAGCCTCCGTGCAAGAGGCCATGTGGAGCCAGGAAACCTTCCCGGGGAGAGCTGAGGCCGGTGCCCTTGTGAAGCTGTGACAGCCAGCATGTGCCAGCCTCCTGTCGGGAGCTTCCGGGACACTCTCATCTCTCCCTTCACAGGGGACAGGAAGACTGGCAAATGGGAGAATTTTTGTTACTTTTTGGTTTTGTTGGTATATTTTTGTTTCTTTTTTTGATCCTTGTGTTTTGACGCCGTAAATACTTGTTGACAACTGACGTGACAGGTACAAGCTGGGGACAGCCAGGACTGGCCATGCAGTTTTGAGGAGTGCACAGCCCATGGGAAAGAGACGGGAGCCAGCACGATTCAGCATCCCCAGCCTCGGCCGCAGTGCGAGGCGCCTGATCACAAACCTGTACACACATTGATTTGGGGTCGTTTTTCCTAAAACAGCTTCTTTATTAGGACTTGGGAGTCCTAGGTGAGATGAAAACACAACAGGGAGGAAGTGTTTCTTCTGGCTTCTCAGTCTGCAGAAGGCTCAGTGTGGAGAGGACACGTGGTGGTTTTCTCCCTGGGGAACCAGACCTCAGCCCTTTCTACTAACATGCGTTTCGGGGCACTGTTTGTATGAGCTACAGATGCCTCGTGATTTCATTCAGATGCATTACATATGACGCACGTGAGTGGAAAACCCCACTGAGGCAGGAGCTGAGCAAAAGCTGACAACTCAGAGCCCAGACTGCGCATGGCCATTACAGCTAAAAGCGCAGACCACGTGCATTCACGACAGCTCACAGCCCAGGCCATGCATGCCCATGACAGCTCAGAGCCCAGACCACGTGCGTTCACGACAGTTCCCGTCCGCACAGTCTTAAACTCTCTGCCTACGCTGGGCCCTGTGCTGCTGCCTAGAAGCCACAGGTGAGACGTACGGCGCGAGGTGCCAGGCTATGCACCTGCACACGGTCTGTGGAAGGAGCTGCCAGGTGCTCCAGAAGCAGGAGAATATGGGAGGGAGGCAGGGACAGGTCTGTGTGGCCTGGTGATCACCTATGGGGCATTTGGAAGTGTTGTGCTGGCATGGCCAGGGAGCAGCAGCCACGCTGGGGGTCCCCAGTGCCTCTGGGGCAAGATCTGACCAAGTCTCTTGAGTTTTCCCTGATGTCCCAGACTGCGCACGTTCACCACAGCTCAGAGCCCAGGCCGCGCGTGTTCATGACAGCTCAGCCCAGACCACGCATCCCCACGACAGCGCAGGCCGCGCGCGCTCACACCTCAGAGCCCCTGCCACCATGGCTTTCCCCCACAGCTAGGACCGTCTCTCTCGGGGTCCTGCTCCCACCTCATGCTGGCGTCTCTGCCGTGCAGACCACCCTGTGATGCACCGCTTTCCTCGCAGTGCGGACCCCTCTGGACGTCGGGACTGAGTCGACCTGGGAAATAGAAGTCGTGGCCCACATCCGCCCGGCCGCAGACACGGGGGTGCTGTTCGCGCTCTGGGCTGCTGACCTCCGGGCCGTGCCCCTCTCTGTGGCCCTGGTTGACTATCATTCCACGAAGAAGCTCAAGAAGCAGGTAGGGCCTCCGCCACCTGGGCCCCCTGACCTCCCGCGCGGGCACCAGGGCTGCGCTCCCTGGCAGGGGCGGAGGGGTCTGGGGTGGGATCCCAGAAAGCCTCGGACCCAGCGTGGCGCAGGCCGCCCTCCAGGCTGCGGGGGCATTTGCACACCAGACACCGCCACATGGCTGGCCGAGGGGGCCGGCCCCCGGCATGGTTCCCTGTTCGGTCGGGCACGTGGTGGCTCACGGCATCTTGAATTGGTCTCTCACATTGAAGTCAGATGATTTCAGCAGCAAACTCAGTTTTCCAGTTTCTCTGGAAAAGTTGGATCTGCGACCTCAGCCACTGCCCCCAACAGCGTCTTTCTGGGGGATGCCGGGTGGAGCCGGGTGCAGCTGCCCCACCCGGTCCCCACACTAAGGCAGCTGTCATGGGCCGTGGAGTCACGCAGAACAGTCGAGGTGATGCAAACAGGTTTAACTCCCTCACTTCTGTGTGGAGGAAGGTGTCTTCCACGTCTGCCCACCCCAGGCCACAGAGTCCTCCTGGCTGCTTGGAGGTGACAGTGGCAGGCCTGGTTCACACAGACCCGCCTCACCAGGTAGCTGAGGGTCCACACCATCACTTTTGCACCCACTCCAGCGTCGGGCAGGAACAGCTGCTCCAATGCAGACACAGCCGACCCCTGGGCTGGGGAGCAGGCAGCTGGGCCATCATGCCAGTGGGAGTGCCCACTGGGCTGGGAGGCCACTGCAAGGCTGTGTCCTGGGTCCCCACCAGGGACATACCAGTCCCTGTTAAAGCTCAGCCCGGCCTTATGTGTGTCTGGGGCTGGGGCTGACCCTCCCACACCCAGCCTGGGGGCCACACTTGTTCCCCCACAGCCTCCCAGCCTGGGCCAGGGCTTTACATGCAGAAAAGCTGAGCCCCAGGTGGGGTGGGGGCATCACCCACAGTCAGCGAGTGGCTAGACCCAGGACTGCGGGGAGCCCTGTATGGAGACAGGCATGCAGCATGGGGGCGGCTGGCAGCTGTGAGGCCCAGCCTGGACCAGCAGTGTGTGGGGGGGCAGCCAGCAGGCCCTGACTACCTCCTGGTCCCTGCAGCTGGTGGTCCTGGCAGTGGAGCGTGTGGCCCTGGCCCTCATGGAGATCAAGGTCTGTGATGGTCAAGAGCACGTGGTCACTGTCTCGCTGAGGGAGGGTGAGGCCACCCTGGCGGTGGATGGCACCAGAGGCCAGAGCGAGGTGAGCGCCGCGCAGCTGCAGGAGAGGCTGGCCACGCTCGAGAGGCACCTCCAGAGCCCCGTGCTCACCTTCGCCGGTGGCCTCCCAGGTAGGCTCTCCCTGCTCCACTCGCCCGAGGTGAGGGGCTCCAGGCATACCCAGCTTGGTCACCCCAGATCAAGCCTGGACAGGCTGGTGTTTCTGGTCGTGAATGTGGAAGGGACTTCAGTTTTAAGAGGAAGCACAGGTGGGTTGTAGGTGGGTCATTAGGGAGCTACTGTGGAGCCTCAGTGCTGGTCAGGTCATCAGCTGAGGCTGAGGACACATAGTGGGGCCAGCATTGGCCTAACTCAAGCCCCGTGGCCTGACACCGTAGCTGTTAGCAGCCAGCAGAGGGACCGCCAGCCCCTCTCACAAGGCTGGAAGGAGGCAGGGTGTCCGCCACATCCCATGGGCTACACAGACCAGAGGGTGGGACGGTATCTAAGTCAGTTAGGGGCGTCTTTGCCACGGCCTGAGCCAGGAGGCTGGGCGGAAAGGTGTGAGGAAGCCGACGCTGGTGCAGGTCCTGGCTCCCCACAGCTCAGTGCAGGTTTTCACTGGCGGCAACCAGCAGGGTTTCTGTCTTGGCTGCCAGACAGACTCCACTTAGTTTTAATAAACAGAGCTTTGAAGAGGATGAGAGTGAGCCAGGAAGCCTGCAGCCTGAGTGACTCACGGGGCCCAGAAGAAGATCGCATTTAATCGATGGGACTGTGTGTGCTCCCGGCAGGGAAGGGAGGCAGGCGTCTGCAGAGCTGAGGCTGGAGGGAGGCAGGCGTCTGCAGAGCTGAGGCTGGAGGGAGGGCAGGCATCTGCAGAGCTGAGGCTGGAGGGAGGGCAGGCATCTGCAGAGCTGAGGCTGGAGGGAGGGCAGGCGTCTGCAGAGCTGAGGCTGGAGGGAGGGCAGGCGTCTGCAGAGCTGAGGCTGGAGGGAGGGCAGGCGTCTGCAGAGCTGAGGCTGGAGGGAGGGCAGCCGTCTACAGAGCTGAGGCTGGAGGGAGGGCAGGCGTCTGCAGAGCTGAGGCTGGAGGGAGGGCAGCTGTGTGTCTGCAGAGCTGAGGAGGGAGGGAGGACAGGCGTCTGCAGAGCTCAGGATGGCAGCTGCCTCCTGCTTGTCTGCCGAGTCTGCAGCCGAACTGGGACAGGGAAGTTAGGGAAGAATAGAAACCCCACCTTTTCAGAGGGAACCCAGGGCTAGCCACAAGTGCTGCCAGGGGCGGGGGGACCGGGCAGGGGGAGCCGGGCAGGGGCCGGCCACACGGCCATTCCTGGGTCCCAGGCTGGGCCTGCTAAGACATGTTTGTTCTCTCCCCGCGGCCCAGATGTGCCAGTGACTTCAGCACCAGTCACAGCGTTCTACCGCGGCTGCATGACGCTAGAAGTCAACCGGAGGCTGCTGGACCTGGACGAGGCGGCCTACAAGCACGGTGACATCACCTCCCACTCCTGCCCCACCGTGGAGCCTGCTGCAGCCTAGGCCCCCACAGGACGCAGCAGGGAAAGCCCCTCAGCCTCTGCCTAAAACAGCAGGGAGGAGCCTGGGGTGTCCGTACCGCGCGGGGCGGTCCTGAGAGCTGGGCTTTCCTCTGTGGCCATCCTGGCCTGTAACATATCTGTAAATAGTGGATGGACCTGGGGCCTCTGATGCCGCACACTCAGCCGCGGGTCCGGGCACGGGGAAGCCGGCGTGGGGCAGAACAGGCTCAAAGAAAATAATTCTCTATTATTTTTATTACCAAGCGCTTCTTTCTGATTCTAAAATATGGAAAATAAAATATTTACAGAAAGCTTTGTAACACTGCTCCCTGCAGTATTCTCGGCACGTAGCAGCGTTCGGGATGAGCAGGGCTTCCTGGGGCTCCACGCTGTGCCCAGCCACTCCAAAGGTCCCTCTTTTCAACCCAGCCCCGGCTGGGTTGGGCGGCCACGGTCGGCTCCCTGAGAGCCTCTGACTCTCATAGTGATGGCAGGAGTTGGAGCCTCAGTTTACTCATTCTGTAAATGGGGACAAAGCCTTGCTCGGCCCTGCATGGGCAGCCAGGCATAGCCAAGTGAGGACACCATGGCGAGGGCTCAGCACACAGACGCATGCTGCTTGGGACAGCAGCCTCCAAGCCAGCGTGGGAGGGACCCTGAGCTGGGTCTGAGGGCAGGAAGACACTGAGGCGATGCCTACACCCCTCCCCCTCCCCTCTCTTACTCTCCCCCTCCCCCCTCCCCCAGTGCCATTCCCGCGCCCCCTCCTGCACCCTTCCCGCCCCCCTCCTGCCCCATTCCCGCCCCCCTTCCTGTGCCATTCCCGCCCCATTCCCACCCTCCCTTCTGTGCCATTCCTGCCCCCCTCCTGTGCCATTCCTGCACAGACCCCTTGCTTCTGGACCTCAAGCCTGTTCTGTTGAAAGGGAAACCCTGCTTTCTCTTTTTCAGTCCGGGGTAGAGCTTGCCAGGAGCAGAGCTGGCCCCGCTTCCCGTGTCCCCACTGGCAGGGTCCCCACATTCCTCAGCCTCAATTTCCTTGTCTGCAAGGGGGTGGAGCTGTCACTGGTGCTATCTGACCCCAGCAGGCCACAAGTCCCCAGGGAAGGTTGGGGCAGCCGGAATGCCAGGGCCTGGAAATGCAGTGGAGACCCTGCCTGCCTCCTGGAAGGCTGTTGGAGCCTCCAGGAGCCACAGCTGGTGGGGGCCCTGGAGTCACAGCTTTTCCTTGGTCCCAAGGGGACGACCAAGACTCAAGGCTCAACACTCCGGTGTGACACAGCTGCCTGTGCTGGGGCCTCTGTGTGGGCCGGGCATGGGCTCCCAGGGCAGATGCTGTCACTGCAGGGCCCACACGGGGGCCCAGGGAGGGTTTCAGCATCTGAGGTCCAGACTGGGATTCTACTCAGAGCTCCATGGGCAGGAGGGAGACACGAGGCAGCTGGGAGCAGCCACAGACCTGCATCTCACTCAGCCCAGTCGGTCCCGGAGCTGCACCTGCCAGACAGGACAGGCTGTGGGGCTGGCGCTTGACCCAGAGAAAAGCCAGGTGGAGAAGGGTAGAATTCTTCCAGAGAACCTGTCCAGGGCTAAATCGCCACACACAACTGCAAAGGGGTTTCCAGAAAGGGCTGTGGCCTTGAGGGCCACCCAGGAGGCCCCGCTGGCTGGACTAACAAGGTGGCATCGGCCAAGTGGGCTCCCCAGGGGGCAGCCCCAGGCCAGGAAGTAGTGGCTTCCCTCTGGCCCCCAAGCCTGAAGGCTGTGGAATGGGCAGGGCTTCTTCAAGACTCTGGGAACCAGCCCACTCGGAGGGACCCGGCCTGCCTGGGTCAAGCTCATACCACAGATGGAAGGCCAGCTGCGTTCATTGCCAGGGGCCATGCACAGGGCCCCAGCCCCTGCTGGTCAGAGTCGTCTGGCTCATCCATGCTGGAGCCTCCAGTCCCTGGTGGCCCCTGAGGGTCCTTGGCAGACCCGCCCTGTATCTGGTGGTCCCTGAAGGTCCGTGGCAGACCTGCCCTGCATCTGTGGGGCTCCTGGTGACCATGACCACCTGGTGGTCCCTGAGGGTCCTTGGCAGACCTGCCCTGTGTCTGTGGGACCCCTGGTGCCAGGTTTGGGCTCCTCGGGCCACACCCCATGACCCTGCACCATCGTGGGCCTGACGCTGCTTGCCCAGGACACGCTGGGTGAGAGTCTCTTGTTCTTCCCCAAATCTTGGCAGCATCTGGGTAGAAATTCTGTTAATTCAGGGCTTCAGCGTAGTCTGAGAGGCATTGCAGGCAACTTTCACATTGACACCCTGAGAAAATAGGGAGGAGGGTACAGCACCTGCCTCAGAGGCAGACGCCAGGCAGCCGGTTCCCGCTGGTCCCCTTCAGAAACGTCCACCCGCAGCCAGCAGCCCCGCGTGCGTGTGACAGCTCTCGCCAGCTTCGTCCAGCAGCGCTGTGGGCTTTCTGCAGGCAGATGCGCTTTCTCCGCTTGGGCCAGGACAGGTGGGCACTGGCTGCTTACACAGTGGGGACCCCAAGCCCAGTACCCCAGGTGCTGGTGGGGCTGAGGATGGTTGGGCCCGGGGCTTGGAGCTGCCCATCAGCAGCACAGAAACCCAGTTCTAGGAGGGCTCAGGCGTGGATGCTGGCGGCTCGCTAAGCAGGCCCACCCACCTCACCCTGAAGGCACCACAGCCGAGCAGAGCTCCAAGAAGCCTGTGAAATGCAGCCCCCCGGGCCCAGGAGACACCTGTGCTGCCCACCACAAGGCCACAGGGGCCACAGCCTCCCACCTGGCACTGCAGCATCGTCAGATCACATTGGTGGGTGCCCCGCCAAGCTCTCCCAGAACACTCCACGGCTGTTGGGGAGCTCCTGCCCAGCCCCCATCCTCCTCGGTCAAGAAGACCAGGAGCAGAAACAGGCAACGCCAGCCTCGGGGGCCGGGCCATGGTGAGGCCCCCACAGGCACAGGCCACATCACCCGAGTCCTCAGGACAGTGTCCTCACTCCCCCAGGATTCTGCTCTGGCTCTAGAGGCATCAGGAACTTCTGCTTCCTGGTATTGTTTTCCTAGAATTCCAGGGGCGCCAGAGGTTAAAATAGCCACTGTCCCAAACAAGCAAGACCAATGGTGCTAGGAACTGCAACACAGAGGCCCAGCCAAGCCTGTCACACGTTGGCCAACAGGCACGCTCCACAAGCAGGCCTGCCTGGGGTGCGCAAGAGGACGGAGGATGGAGCACGCAGCCCAGGGAGGGGGGAGGGATGCGTCCCCTGGAGGGAGGAAGGATGCGTCCCCGGAGGGAGGAGGGATGCGTCCCCTGGAGGGAGGAGGGATGCGTCCCCGGAGGGAGGAGGGATGCGTCCCCTGGAGGGAGGAGGGATGCGTCCCCGGAGGGAGGAGGGATGCGTCCCCGGAGGGAAGAGGGATGCGTCCCCTGGAGGGAGGAGGGATGTGTCCTCTGGAGGGAGGAGGGATATGTGCTATGTAGGAAGAAGGGAGGGCCCTGGAGGGAGGAGGGACTGCCCTGACTCTGGGCTGGAGGCAGAAGGGAGCCTTGGGCCACGTTTTGTAGGTGGGATCCTTTGATCTGTCCCGGTCCTCTCCCCAGCAGATGCAGCAGCACCCCCTCCTGGACACTCAGTCTCATTACAACATAAGATCTCTCCGGAGTCTGGCCCCGTCCGCGCGCCTGGGGAATGTCTGTGGAAACACTGCCCGAGGAGAAAAGGAAAGTTTCCTCCTACTTCACGTGATAGAGAAAATATGAACATCACGTATTTGAACACCAAGGGAAGCATCAAGCCAAAGCCTTAGAGCAAATGTACAGCCGGGCTAATCCCAGCACAGCTGTTTATAGGAGGAGCTCGAGCCACAGCCCCTGCCTACTGGTGGTGGCTGCGGCTTCTGGCTGCCAGGCAGAGCCTTGAGGCCCGGACCCCGCATGGCACCCCAAAGCCTGAGGCTTTCACCACGTGGCCCTGCTGAGCATACATATGCTCACCGCTGTGATCGAGGAACATTCCATGACCTAGAGCAGGGAAAGATGTGTCCTCTAATGAGAAAAGAGAGGTTTAAAAATTGAGCCCCTTTGAGGTCTTCCTGCTTTCCAGGATGGAGAATGAAGCCCTGCCAATCATCGAGGGAAGTAACCCTACAGGACAAGTGAGGTGGGCAGGCGCTGGGCAGAGCCGGAAGTGCGCCAGCCAAATGGAAGTTTACAGAGACGACCCCACAAACCACAGAGGCCTGAAGCTCTAGAATCTAAGGCAGGCAGGAAGCCACAACTACAGGAGGCTCTGGACCCCTGGGAGGTGGAGTGACACCGCTTTGATGAAGCCCACCAGACTTCCACCCATCGGTGCCCACCCTAACAAACACATTCCGTGTACCCACAGGCACAGCACGGCTGGTTTTGAGGCACCAAACCCAGAAACAGCCCCATGTCCCCCAAAAGAAAGGCAGCTGCACTGCAGCGAGGTCAAAATCAGGACACATGCAGACACTGGAATGCAGGGCCACGGGCATGAGCTGGCAGGCATAAAGCAGAAGCAGGAAACAAGGCACGAGCAACACAGTGACCGACACTCCACTCACGCTGAAGTCAGAGAGCAACGCGGTGACCGAGACTCCACTCACACCAACATGAGAGACCAACACAGTGACCCACCTCCACTCACACCAACGTCAGAGAGCAACATGGTGACCCACCTCCACTCACACCAATGTCAGAGAGCAACACGGTGACCCACCTCCACTCACACCAACCCCAGAGAGCAACATGGTGACCCACCTCCACTCACACCAATGTCAGAGAGCAACACGGTGACCCACCTCCACTCACACCAATGTCAGAGAGCAACACGGTGACCCACCTCCACTCACACCAATGTCAGAGAGCAACACGGTGACCCACCTCCACTCACACCAATGTCAGAGAGCAACACGGTGACCCACCTCCACTCACACCAACCCCAGAGAGAAACATGGTGACCCACCTCCACTCACACCAACCCCAGAGAGCAACACGGTGACCCACCTCCACCCACACCAACCCCAGAGAGCAACACGGTGACCCACCTCCACTCACACCAACCCCAGAGAGCAACACGGTGACCCACCTCCACTCACACCAACCCCAGAGAGCAACACGGTGACCTACCTCCACTCACACCAACCCCAGAGAGCAACACTGTGACCCACCTCCACTCACACCAACATGAGAGACCAACACAGTGACCCACCTCCACTCCCACCAACATGAGAGACCAACACAGTGACCCACCTCCACTCACACCAACATCAGAGAGCAACACTG